GGAAAGCACTTCTTTCAAGAAAATTACCATATAAGGAAATTTTCAAGAAATCAGTGGTGAACGGGTGAGAGTTTTTTTTTCTTTTTACCTATTACGTATTTTATTTTTTTATATTCTAAAAATATATCTTTAAAATTTTATATCAAATAAATCAATAAATTAATATTTATTTATTTATTATAAAAAATACTTGTCCAAAGACTTTTTAGACAAACTGTATATTGAAATGTTCAAATCTTTAATGTTAGGTAAACACAAATTTTTTGATATTAATTTTGAAATTGAAAAAATTTATTTGGTCAAGTGAAGTAATTATTAAATACAAGCTTATGTTAATTAGAATATTTATTTTAAGGATAAGAAATTTTTTTGATCTATTGTTTTAGCAAAGTTCAAATACATGCATGTTCTATCAGAGAAAGATGTAACTTTGACGAACTTCGACGATTAATATTTATTCTTTCGGTCATTGCATGCATGCATAGGAATGTTGCATATTTAAAATTTGTTTTTGCGAAAAGTGCCATGCGGATCGCGAAAAAAATTTTTTTTTTTTTTTTGTTATCCAATGAGCAAGGATAAATTACCGATTAGAAAATTCGTGTCTCACCTCTATTCAAACATTCGATCAAATGGCATTCCCGAATAAAGAACCCCTGCCCAATGAATTCGCATATATTCAGATGATACAAGATTCTTGCCTCTTTAAAACGGGCTTAAGCGGCGTGGGTGGTAAGCGGTTTGATCTAATTCACGTTTCCGCAGTGTATGAATTGCTTGTAACCATCGTTTTATCATCCTCAAACCATCACTTTATGATCCTTTTTTAAAAAATTACAAAATCAATTCTTTCAACCATTCATTTCGACAATTGGTGCTTTGTAATCATACTGCACAATTTTTCTTTGAACCGGAATTAATGTGATAACCCAAAAACGAAATGCAGGTTTCGCATTAGGTGGATTGTTCGGAATGTTCATGTCATCATTCGAGATGGCCAGCGTTGATCCGGCAATATACGAACAACCAATGAAACAACAATTAAAGGCTACCGCCAAAGATATGGCCGCGCGTTCTTTCTCGATGGCAAAAAGTTTTGCAGTTATGGGCGCCATATTTTCTGGTACTGAATGCATTATCGAGGGGGTAGGTTAGATGTGCTTTTTATTACGGCATTGAATGAAAATTTCTATATCCGCATTCGAATCACAATTCATTTTATATTTCCTCTCAACAGTATCGCGCTAAAAACGATATATATAACGGTACAGCAGCCGGATGCATCACCGGCGCCCTGTTAGCCGCAAAAGCTGGTCCTCAGGCTGCTTTAATTGGATGTGCCGGGTTTGCGGCTTTTTCAACGGCCATTGATTTATACATGCGAAGAGAATAGGAGAATTGCGAAAAACATTCATGTATGTAATACTTTTGAGCAATGCTTGGTCTGCCTCAACCAAATGTATGAATTCTCACAAGAATCATGCTGGATGGTACTAAAATATCCGTCCGTCCGTCCACTCCTTGCATAACTCAATGATCCTAAAATAAATCAAATCCGGTCTGTTGAATAACAAAGTTTAACAAGAAGCGTATTTTTGAGATTTTTTTTTTCTGATTTAACCCCGGATTCGGAATTTCAATTATTCTATTAAAATGGTTTCATTAAATTCACGTCTGTTATCTACATGTTCCTCGATAATAAAAAAAAAGAATTTACATTCGAGTATTTTATAAGGGAATGATGATCATTTACCAGCCACAAGTGAAACGTGTTTCGGAATAAATCTTTGGTTGGTTACCCTCCGACTTCTTTCTTAAAATACTAAAAATGCATCGGCGCGCTGTGGGTGTGTCCACGATCAAAAAGAAGCAAGCTTCCAAAGTAATGTAACCAACTTCTTTAGAAGCTTCATCTCTTGTTTGACAAATGTTTACGGTCAGTGATACGGTTTTTTTTTCGCGCGCAGAACAAATTTAAGGAGGCTGGGGATACCTTGGCCGAAACACAAATACAAGAGGTAATCACTGAAATTCTTTATCAAATGTTTTTTTTGTTTAACGCTTTTCAATAATTGACAATAAAAACTTTACCAGTTGACGATTCAGCTTCAAATTTTGAAAACCAACCTCGAAGAATTTGCTCGCAAACATCGTAAAGACATTGAAAAAGAACCCCGATTTCGAACGCATTTTTCAAGGATGTGTGCCAATGCTGGGGTTGATCCGCTTTTATGTAATCAGAAGACGATTCTTTGTTTTATAATCAACCATACTCATCGAAACGATTCTATTAACACCTTTTATTGTTAAATTTAGCAAATAAGGGATTTTGGGCCGAGCTCTTGGGATATGGTAATTTTTATTATGACATCTGTGTGCAGATAATTGAGATATGCAGGTCTACTCGGGGTAGGAATGGGGGGTTGGTGGAATTAAAAGAATTAAAGCGACAATTGATAAAGAAGCGAAGCAATGCCAGCGGCGGAATTGGATCATCACAAGAAATCAGTGAGTAAGTTCTTTATTGCATATTAAGCAGAAAGATCTACTTGCTTCAAATTTCTTATGCATCGATATTCGTGGAATCTCTTTATCAGGGATGATATCGTGCGTGCAATCAAGACACTTAAACCCTTAGGTAATGGTTTCGAGATATTACAAATCGGCGACCGAAAGATGGTGAGATCAGTTCCCAGAGAATTGAATGTCGATCAATCTAGTATACTTCTTTTGGCACAGGTTAGTTTGATTGTTCAGGTGGAGTTATTATTTGACATTTTCCTGATTTCCTTTTGCTTTTCAACAGTCGAAAGGTTATGTTACGAAGGACATGATTGAATCAGAATTGGGATGGGGAATAGAGCGTATTAACGACGTTTTTGTAAGTGCACTGGTTCGTTTAAGTAATCGAGGGTTTTATTGATATAAATTTCATCGTTCAATAGGATACCCTGCTTGCAGACGGTCTTTGCTGGATGGATGAGCAAGCACATCCAATTGAATACTGGGTACCCAGTTTCTTTAAAGGTGTTGACGACTGAAACATATTGTGACATGTCATTTGCAAATAGTTTTCATAAGATTTTAGCTATTCCCTTATTTGGGGATGATTCCTATTTACGCGTCTCATCATTACTTCCTTCCCGTCGATAACAAAATGTACTGCGATGATCTAAAATAAATATTGATAAAAATGATTAACGTTGTATATCACGTCGCACAACCAAAATCTGGGTATAAAGGTCTTCTTGTAACTCTAAACCGTCAAATTTAAACGCATTTCTTGCTCTGATCCTCACCACCGCATTCGCTTTATTCCTTGAAAGTAATAATGGTACGCCTGCGAAAATGGACATATTGTCTTGTTTAATTTCTATTCGTCACCCATGTTTCTCAATGTTAAAGTAAGATTTCTCATGGACTTGCAGGATGAACAGTATGATGTCATTGTTCTTGGTACCGGCTTGACCGAATGTATCCTCTCAGGGTTATTGTCCGTCGAGGGAAAGAAAGTTCTCCACATGGATAGGAACGACTATTACGGTGGTGAGAGTGCTAGTTTGAACTTGACGCAGGTGAGTTCAAAATCTTGATGTGTGTAAAACTCTCCAAACTCTTCGAGTTGGTGAGCATCCCTGCGGTGAAGACACGTATCAATTTTTCATTAAATTGTCAATTGATCCAAACATGAACTACAAATACTCTTCCGCATCATTTTATTTTGTGCGATACGCGCCTTAAAGATTTTTAATTGATTTACCTCGACACGAATATGTTTCTTTTTATCATCAGCTTTACCGAAAATTTCGTCCAGGAGAAGAACCCTTAAAGGAATTTGGACGTGATCGCGATTACAACATCGATCTCATCCCCAAGTTTATGATGGCCAATGGAGAACTTGTAAAAATCCTCACTCATACCGAAGTAACACGATATCTCGAATTTAAACAAATTTCCGGTTCTTACGTATACCGAGAAGGTATTATCTCTAAAGTACCCGCTAGCGAACTTGAAGCTGTTCGCAGTCCATTGATGGGGCTATTTGAAAAAAGAAGAGCGAAGAAATTCTTCGAATATATGCAGAATTGGAAAGAGGATGACCCATCCACTCATCAAGGTAATGAATACGAAATAGTTGCGTATTTCGTGCTTTTGTAGTGTCTATTGGACTCTACCTCACATCTTAATAATATGACAGGGCTTGACATTAACACGGCAAAGATGTCCGAAGTTTATGAGAAGTTTGGTCTGGAATCAGGCACCAAAGATTTCATTGGTCATGCTATGGCCTTGTACCTGGACGATAGGTATGTGCTGAACACTTACCATTAGAATAACGTATTAAAATGTTTTTATATTAACATATCATAAATTCTTAGTTATATTACAAGTACAGCTCGCGAAACTTACGATAGGATCATTTTGTATATCTCTTCAGTCGCTCGTTACGGAAAGAGTCCATACATTTATCCATTGTATGGTCTGGGTGAACTGCCTCAAGGTTTTGCGCGGTAAAGTTTACCAACAGCGTAAATTCGTAAATTCCATCATAATAATTCGAGATCGTAAGGACTGAAATGATTCTGAAAAATTAATAGTTTGAGTGCAATCTACGGTGGTACTTACATGCTCGACAAACCAGTCGATGAAATTGTTTACGATGCAGATGGCCGTGTTTGCGGCGTACGTTCAGGCGGTGAGGTAAGACAAGTATAATTCTTTGAAGTGTTATTGAATAAAGCCTTTTGTATTAAGGGGATGTTAATGTCTTTCTAGGTTGCTAAAACAAAACAAGTTATTGGCGATCCTTCATATTTTTCTGGAAAAGTTAAAAAAGTCGGAAAAGTCATCCGCGCCATCTGTATACTTAAACACCCCATACCCAATACTGATAACGCTGACTCTATTCAATTAGTGATTCCACAAAATCAAGTTAACAGGAAACATGGTAACTTTCAATAACTGAAATTTTGGGTGTGCCTTTCTTTCAGTAACGATTGCCAAAGAGTTGATTGCGCTAATTACAAGTTCGTAACGATTAGATATTTACATTGCCAGCGTGTCATCTGCTCACAAAGTCTGCGCAGACGGTTACTACCTCGCTATTGTTTCTACTATCGTTGAAACTGATAATCCAGAGGCGGAAATTAAACCCGGCCTTGACTTGCTTGGACCATGTGTTGAAAAGTACATATTGTTTTACGTTTTTAATGCATTCAATGTTATTCAATCTTTATAATATATTTGTATAAAACATTATTACTAGATTTATCAGCGTATGTGACCTTGAAGAACCGCTTGAAAACGGTTGCGACGATCAAGTGTTCATATCTCGTTCGTATGATGCCACGTCTCACTTTGGAACTGTGTGCGATGATGTTAAGGATATTTACAAAAGAGTTACCGGCAAGCCTCTCGTTCTAAAACAAAGAGCAAGACAGGAGGACGAGGATTGAAGATTAAACAATTTATTTTATTTATATTATTTTTTTTATATCCATTTTTCATTATTTGTTGTAAGCGTGTATCTTAAAAAAAGAAATCTTAAACATTGAATCTCGGGTTGCCATTGATCCATTGTTGTCATGTATGTATATCAAAATCAGTTTTCTTCGGGTGGGAAAATGGTAAATAAATAGAGTTATGTTAATCTAATATTTTATGGATGAGTTTACAATCGCACATTTAATTTACAATTGTTATTATTATAAAGAATCTAAGTAAGTCAGAAAGTTTGATTTTAACTAGTTCAAATAGCTAAATTATTGTCTTGTTGAAAATACTAATATTTCAGAATTGCGATAGTTTGAAAAGGAATATAATTTTGTTATTGGTGTAAAAGTAAAGTATTTATATACAGTATGTCTCATAATTTTTTGTAAATTTTATTTATTAATTACTCGATAACCGCTGAACCAAATACAATA